ATCGGTAATTAGAGTCAAATATTTTTCATGCTTTCGATCTGAGTTGGTTTTCAGGTTTGTTTCGAATCCAACAGTTAATTCAAGAATGTACAAAATCTTATTTTCAATTGTCAATAGAAGGTCTGGTCGTAACTCGTCACCAGTGATGACAGATGGGCTAATAAATCCAGGCAGATCTACATACATTTTGGACCTTCCGACGTCGAGAAGGCTGGACGCAATGAGATTCAAAACTGAATCATGTCGCCATGTATATCTCCCTTCGTTTAGATATGTCTTACATCCAGAGATTACGTGCAAAAGCGATTCAGGACAGAAGCAGAACGAACAGTCAGCAGATGATGACAGACCCCATTTAAATAGGTTTTTCCTAGTAGGCAAAGAATTGTTGATGTAACGTAGACTGAAGTTAAATATGTTCTTAGGAAGTTTTGAATGAACCGATGACCATAGGGAATTGAATGCCAACGTGGAGTTTTTCACGATGTTTGAGAAAAAAGAACCTTGTGACATTAGGTTACTTTGTAGTCGCTGTTCGTTTTTTTGTCTAAATGCCTTCAATACATCTTTTGTGTTTGAGTAAATGTCGTACTGAATGTTCCTATTGGTGCTTGTTATTGACCATAATTCACGTATGTTTTCATTTATCGATGACTTTAAAGCTAAGCGTGAGACAGTTTGGCACTGTATAAACTTCGTTGAAGGTAGAATGATATTTAAACCAAATTTGTTGTAAAGGAGATAGACATTGCTTAGAGTTGCAGATATTGCCAGTTCGAGCCATTTTCGTATATATTTAGTAGCAATACCGTCCAAAGTCTCGCAAACCCATATTTGAGATATATCAGTTATTGTGAAGTCCCATGTGATTTTCGAGAGCAAGTAGCGACTGTATAGCAGGATTTTATGGTGCAAATGTAATTCATCTATTTTAGATATGATATTATTAAACAAGTCACATATATCCGATTGGTGTTTTTCATCTGACATGTTGAAATTAAAATAACGACCAAGGTAGCGGAAAGATTCACCAGTTTCGGTACGGGGTACAAGTAGGTGGCTAATAAACAATTTAGGTTGATATTGAATAATAATAATAATAATAATAATAATGAAAGTGCACATCAAGGAGATATAGAAGAGTTTCATGGTTTTCAAGAGGCAGACAATGTATCGTTTAGTACGCCTGCATGATGTTTTGGTTTGTATGCGGTTTTAAAACCATGTGTACATTTGTACATTTATTTGCATGGAAAACTGTAAATTCGTTTAGGCCGAAGCCATGCAGCAGCGGAGTTTTTATAGTTTGACATCGGTGCCTGGTCGAAGGTCAAACTCAAGATCGTTGGTCTTCACCATAAAAATGAATGTATTCACAGGAAATCAATTAAGCTACGTCTCTAAATATAAATGAAATAGACCAAAATGTTAAAGCGCAAACAAATAATCATTCGCCTGTTCTAGTTGTTAACCGTAAATGTTCTGTGAGCCTGTTTGATATTTATGTTATATAAAAAAATAATGAGTTTATGACAACAGCAGTGCCATTAGGATCAGGCATTCCACTAAAGTCGAATCAAAGAGAAAGAAATCATTCATTCGCTTTATTAAGGCCATCGCACAGTATATAGCCCTCTATAATATTAAGAAAATATTCAAAAGTGCTGTATGGATATTATAGTAAGGAAAATCAAATTCCCGATCAATTGTAACAAGCACTTGAAGCTCCTTTTCATAACTCATAAACCAAATTTTCTTTTTTATTTTTGTCGATTTGTTGTTGTAACAAAATGTGTATATGAATGCTTATTTGTGCCTCAATGCATGGACTCTACCGCAATGAGAAGATCACTATTAACATTTTGAGCTGAGTATACCTCCACCGGCCGGTAGATTGTTTATATTTTGAGCTACCTGCAGGGATAGATTCTTTATATTCCAGGCTACCTCCATGGGTAGATTGGTTATATTTCGAGTTACACCCACGGGTAAATTTATTATTGTTGGTAACTTAGCTATAGAAAAAATTCCACACCAGCGTCTGGATCTACTAGGCCGTTATTCAGGGCTCATAAGTACATTTTGTCTGCTTGTATTAAGACATGCATTATTAAATGTTGTAAATGACCATGCGCGAACAAGAGGATATTTCGTGCTCTAAGAAGCGCCGCTAAGCACATTGCTTGCCTCAACTAGAATAAACGCTAAACAGTTCCTTGCCTTGATGCACATTAGCAGCAAGAAATAAAGCCATACGGATCTTTTACAAAATCAATTCACAAAAATTGCAAATTATGCGCATGCACGCAATTCAATATTTTCTTGTACACTCTCCGATCGCCCACGCCCCCCACCCCCTGAATAACGACATTTTAAATATGGACAGGCGCAACATGGAAATCTCAACAACGCATAGATCTATGCGTAGATCGGGATGAAAAATTGGGTCGAGTGAAGTTTAGAGAAACTTAATTCAGCATGTCAAAATTAGGAATGCTGCCTGCGGCAGCAGTTATCCCTATAGCTTGCATACAGCGCAAGGGAAAATATAGCCTTTGGAATAACTAATCCCTAATTTTAGTGGAAACTATTGTTGCAGAAAAAGGTCTTATCTTTGCTTGGCAGGCTATACATATGAGTCATCTTTTCCTACTCACTAGTGATAGTTAGACCAGAGTAATATATAATTTCTTTCGCAAGAGCCCAATTGCATGATACAGGTCTTTGAAATAATTAAGAATATATATTTAGTTGAAATTTTAGATCTTATACCAAAAAAAATTATATATATTTGGCTGGCAGGTCATGAATGTATCCCATTATTTCTTACAAAGTGGATAAAACAGTTATATTATACTTATAACATTTTTGTTTGTGGAAACACCTCGATCCGTAAGACCGGACCTTCGTCAGTGCTAATAATTATAAACCTACAAAGAACTTATATTATTATATTACACCTTTAGTGTGATATTTAACAAATATAAAACATTTTCCGTGTTGATATACAGTTATGTCAACACGAGTGGAATTGGGAAAACGAGAAAGTGTATGGAAACACGACGCCCGAAGGGCGGAGTGTTTTCATACAATTTCGAGTTTTCCCAACTTCCACGAGTGTTGATATAACTATATATCAAGACGGAAAAAAGTTTTATATTTCTTTTAAATATAGCAATGTGAAAGCCCGAAGAATAAGAAAAATTTCCGTGTTTACAAGCGGCGGAAAATTTCCCGTGTTGACATTGAGTTATATCAACACGGCTCTTAGTCAATCAGCGTTCAGAATTTACAAATGCTATATTATAAATATCTCTTGGCACAGAAAGATGCACAATCTAATTGGCTGACTGGTTATCAAGCTATTGAATTTCCATATATGAAAAACACTTATTATATAATTATTCATTTCTTATATGAAAAAGTAATTTCATATATGAAATTAGAATTTCACATGTGAAAAGTTACATATGAAATTTCTGTTCCATATGACATTTTATTTTTCACATAATAAATTTCCATACACGAAAAACACGTTATGCATTAAATTTTGATTTCACATATGAAATTATTTATTTCATTTATGTGAAATTATTTATATCGAGGTGGAGACTGACAATCTTTTCCATATTCATTATGCATCTTCCGTTTAAAGGACCTCTGTGTCTCCCAATTAACACGAAAGTTGTCCATTTTAATTTGTTTTTAAACTTTTATAAAGTACAAACATAGTATCCATGGCATTGAAACCGTACATCAGAAAACCATCAGTTATTTATTTGAATAACTAAAGAGACGCCTGCGGAGGAGGCTAGATACGTACAACACATGAGAAAAAGTTCCAGTATTAAGGTTACATCATATGCATAGATTCCTGTTTCAGAAAAATTGTCACTGCGTGCTCAATTTTTTAGTTACGCGTTTCTCAAATTTGGTGCATGCAATGATAACTAACTGTAGAAGCTACTGTTTTAACCAAAATTCACCACGTTTTAACCTGTAGTCGCCATGAGTCATCTTTTGAAAAATAGCACCTCCTGCGCCACGAGATTTAACGACAGACCGTTTAACTCAGGAGCTCCCAAAATATCATATTTCTCATCTCAAATGTCCAAAGAAGAAAAAATGTGTTCGCATTTTTTGACAGCTATTATATTCGCTTTGATATGAAGCAGACAACTTGACTTATCTTGCGCGGGTATAAGCGGTTGAAGAGATGCTTCTAAATTGAAAAATAATGCACTAAATCGAAAACGCGAACACATTTTGTTCCTTTATTATTGATTAACATTCTGGTCAAGTTTGGGACGAATCGGATAAAATGTTCTGTCGTTAAAATTTTTTTTGTCGAGGAGATTGGGTAATTTGGCTTTGTCTTCAAATGACCATATAAGATTTGGCGAGGTTTCCAGGCACTCTTTCTGTCATTTCTCCGCCCCCAATGTTAATCCACTTGTGGCCAAACCATATGACCACTGAATAGCTTCGAATATTTCATATCAAGGAATATTTCATATTGCTATGACCACTGAATAGGAATATTTCAAATATTTCATATTGCTTCGAATATTTCATATCAAGGTGTGAAATTCACTAAAGTATAAGTTATTGTTCGGAGGCATATATCACTGCGACAACATTAGAAAGCTTATAATATAGTATTTACAGAGTCTCTCGAAGTTCAAGCTATGCGCGATGTTGGCTTCAAGCTATGGGCGATGTTGGCTTCGGTGACTTTTCTACTGCGTTTGCGTTTAGGCTTAGACCGGTTCCTCACTAATTGTATTTAACCGCAAGAGGTCAGACTGACAATTCGAGTCAATCATAATTACAAGTTTCGCGCGAAGCTATTCAGTGGTCATAGCATGTTCCCCTATATCTCGGTCGCTTTTTAACATTTTCTTAAAAAAGTTGCTGGAATTGATAGATATATCATTACTTAATATAACTATATAAAAAAAAATTTGGACAAAATCAGAGTCTCATCACTATATTGTAACCTTAAAATGAAGTCCGTTCCCAGGCGGACGGGGAATTAAAATGCGTTCGCGGGATTTGGGACTGGTCACGTGACCTACAGACCCATAGAAAATTGATTAGGGGCCAACCATTTAACTTTTGAGGGGGGGGGATTTATTGCTGGCAGGGAATTTTTTTCTGGGATCGTTGTGTGCAAGATATTTTTTTCCTGTCCCATCATCATCTACGATTTTTTCCCCACTCTGTAGCTCTTTTGCAACCTTTTTTTTCAATAGCTAATAATATTTAGATTCTTTAATGATAGTCAACGCTGAGGTTTTTAGCTTCATACATTGTTTTTAATGATACATATTGCTACGAGGTATTGGTATAACATTTGGTTCAGGGCCTCATTTAAGGATGTGTAACTGGAGACGACCGCATATTTAGCGGGGACCTGGAAAAGTTCCAGTCGGCAAGTCTGTATCGGCCTGTATCACTACAGCTACCAGCATATATATGCATGGTTTAACCAATAAGTATACGTCATAGAGCAGCAAATCAGGCTATAACTAGTATTCTGAGACAATCGAAGGTGCGAGCCTCTGGGGGCATGGGGTCTGGCGGACATGCCCGCCAGAAAATTTTGGATTTCTTGAAGCTCGGATAAGCAATTTCCAGCATTTTGAGGAGTTTCCAATAAGAAATTAACCTTGCACTAGTCCCTGAAAATCAAACCAGCTGATCTTCTGGGACTGGTCAAATCGATTCCTGCAACCATGCTGTTTTGCAACATTTTTCCCCCACCAAATACTGAGGCAAGATATTCCCCCCCCCCCAGTTTGTTAATGCAGGTATTTTTTGTCGTTCAGAATAGTCTTGCAGGAATTTTTTTCAAAATCAACCCCCCCCCAAAAAAAGTTAAATGGTCGACCCCTTACCTAAGGAGGTATGGGAACAGTCTTATATTGCATGCAGCCACTTGCGCACTTTACCCGATCAACTTTGAGAATCATATATGCTTCAAACTACTTGCCAAATTTGATTTTTGTTTGCTTTTAAAATATAACAATATAATAAAATACGGCAGTTTTGTTTACGTTCCTCAATATCGGAAGCGCCCTGCCCCCCCCTCTCCATCACCCTCCCCCCCGGAAGGTATTTCGCAATATTTATACACACGCGTGTTGTGTACTTGTGTTTCATATCACCTCAGCAAAAGAGCAGCATATATTTGGCTTCGAAGCTCGTTAAAAACTATATATTGGCCAGATATTTCCTTGTGGTTTATTAATTTTGGAAGAAAGCATTTTATTAACAAGATGAAATACGCAGTTGTATACTGGATAGCAACAAACGAAACGAGTTGTTTTGGAAGACAGTTGTGTTCGAGATGCCAACTACTTACAAATGCAAATCCGATTATATTAAGAAGGGGATGATATAACTGCCAAGGGAAAAGAAGGCCCAAAAGGCGATTGGAAAGTCTATACAGCTCGTGTTTGTATCTGTTCATGGTAAGTTGTTGTATTATATCATCAAGTTAAACTATTAAAGTTCAGTTTGTAGCCATGCTGTCCCAATTCCGTTGTATTAACTTGCCTCAATATTGAACATTGCTATTTGCAAAATATATTTTTATTAAAAAATCCCCTCTCTAGAAACGCGTATTGAGGCAATAGTAAGTGAGAACGACTTCCTTTCCCTAGCCTGTGAACAGCTAGACATTACTCTCAACGAAGAGCGCAAGTATGGAACGCCATGTGTTCAAAAATTACTTTTTAGTTAACGTTTATGTACCTGTCAATTGTAACACCCACCCCCCAACCTCGGGGAAATGTGGGCACATAGATTTTTAATATATCTATAGTTATCTATTGTCCCACCCCCTGAGGCAGGCTGACCTGACTAATCTTGTCAAATCCCCCAACCCATGGCCAGGGGGAAAAATTTGAAATGTTTTATTGAACAAAGATTTTTATTTTCAAAATAAAAGTAATATCAGTGATGTACATGAAAAATATGCAAATTATTGCAAATAATATTGCTATTCTGTGAGAAAATAGATTGGCTACTGAACATGTAATAATCTATTTTGTCACTATAGAGCAAAAGAAACAGAATATAGAACTTTTATGTACAAACAAAAAATGACCTGTGGCACAACTAAAATTGACTTTAATTAATTTAAAAAGATCAGACTCAGGCTCAACAGTACAATCTTAGGGGCTGTTTATATGAGAGGCGGGACGGGACGTTTTGCCGGGACGGGACGATTTATACATCCCGGTTGGGAGCTGCTTGCATGATCCCGCTTTGCCGGGACGAGATGTGAGGCGGCGATGATTTTGACGTATTGAAATAAGTCACAGTGCACGATTTAGCAAATTCAATTATTTTTCTAGTGATAGATTACTGAGTATAATTGTAAACGAAAGGTTGTTGAAGCAGCAAGAATAATCTTCTTGAACTACGAGATCTTCTCTGACAACATTTGAGTTTTTTTAACCGGTGTTTGACCATTTGTTTAAGCCTAGTCATGTATTTCAATACACCAAAATCATCCCACCTTCCATCTCGTCCCGGCAACAATTAAGTATTTACATGGAAGAAAACGTCCCAGTTGAGTGGGATCCCGGTTGCACAAACCGGGATCTCGCTTGCCTGGGACGGGACGAAAAACGTCCCGCTTCCAAATAAGCATCTGGTGATAAATATAATAGAAATTTATACAAGCCGGGATCCCGTTCATCGTTCCGTCCCAGCAAACGTCCCGTCCCGGGAAACGTCCCGTCCCGCCTCACATATAAATAGCCTCCAGCGGGCTGTATACATTCCCACATAAATGCTCCACATACCCAGGTCGGGGATCCATAAGAAGAGAATCCCCCACCTAGTCAGGCATAACTAAGAGTCAAAAGAGGGAAAACGCACCACATGTCCCCACCTTTCTCTGAGGTTGAGGGGTGGGGGTTACAACTGACAATTGCACAATTATATCATATATCATGACCAAAACTGTCATTATATATAAATAATGGATAAACGAACCGACATTATAT